GGTTCACAGTTAATGTGATGGTTTAGTAAACTTCTCCTTGGTGGTGCATTCAGGGTTCACAGTTCAGAAACATTTCATCCGTGAAATTCAAACCCAGAAGAAGCGTTGACGGAATGAATTGTTTGTTTTTGTCTCAACAGGAAGTTGGCGAAGAAGAGGAAGGAAACTCTGAGCTCCAGACAGGAAATGACTCTGATGGTCAACAACTCCCAACACACAACGATGGTGGACACACACACGCACACACTGAATGGACGCAGTGAGTACAAAACAAACGAGACAATTAAGACTGGAGACTTATATTTTGAAAATAGAGGCCTTTAAATCACTTTTATTGTGAAGAATTTATAGGAAAAGAAATAAAAACAATATGTACATACAGTCAGGGCCATAAGTATTTGGACTATGACACAATTTTTCAAATTTTGCTTATTTACACAACTCCAATGGATTTGAAACTAATCAGTCAACATGTGGTTGAAGTTTAGACTTTCAGCTTTAATTCAATGGATAAAACAAAAAAATCACATTAAGTGTTTAGGAGTTACAGCCATCTTTACTCAGTCATCCACATTTTCTGAGGCTCAAACGTAATTGGACAAACGGTTTCATGGCCAGATGTAGTCGGTTCTGTCACTATTTCATGACAAATGATGCAGACAACAGGATCCAAAATGTTATATTTGCAGTTGGTAGCTGGTCCTTGGAACTCTCAGCATGCGAACCAAAAAGGTGTCGATGCAAGTGAAGGAGGCCATTGTTAGGTTAAAAAATTGGTTCGATTAGAAAAACTTTATTAAACCCCAGTGAGAACCTCTGGTAACACTGAAGAACAGGAAGGCCCGATTAGACTTTAACAGAAAACATCTGACAAAGACTGACCAGTTTAGGAAACCGATTCTTTGGAGAGATGAAACCAAGATGAACTTGTACCAGAATGATGGAAGAGAAAAGTGTGGAGAAGGAAAGGAATGGCTCATGATATGAAGCAAACCACATCATCTGTTTAACATGGTGGAGGCAGTGCTTTGGATGGACATGTATGGCTGCCAATGGAACTGGTGTTCATTGGTGATGTCACAGCCGATAGAAGCAGCAGGATGAGTTCTGAGGTGTTTAAACTATCTGCTCAGATTCAGCGTAATGCTGCAAAACTGATTGGACGGCGCCTCACAGTGTAGATGGATAACAACCTAAAACATACTGTAAAAACAACCCAAGAGCTTCTTATCCAAGGAATATTCTTCAATGGCCAAGTCAGTCACCTGATCTCAACCCAAGTGAGCAGCTTTTGACTTTCTGAAGATAAAACTGAAGCAGAAAAACCCACAAACAGCAGCAGCTGAAGGAGGCTGCAGTAAAAGGTCTGACAAAGCAATTCAAGGGGGAAAAACTTACCGTTTTTGGTGATGTCTATGGTGCCAGACTTCAGGAATTCATTGACTGCAAAGGATTTTCCTCCAAGTATTAAAAATAATGATTATATTCACAATTATGTTAGTTTGTCCAATTACTTTGAGCCTCTGAACATGTGGTGACTGTGTAAAAGTGGCTGTAATTCCTAAACGGTCATTGTGATGTTTTTGTTTTATCCATTGAATTAAAGCTGAAAGTCTTCAACCTCATGTTGACTGATTAGTTTCAAATCCAATGGAGTCGTGTAAAGAGGCAAAATTAGAAAAATTGTATCATAGTCCAAATACTTATGGCCCTGACTGTATATTTGTGTATATATATATACATATATATATATATATATATATATATATGTATATATATATACATATATGTATATATATATGTATATATATATACGTATATATATACACACACATGTATAATATGTTTGTGTTGATGTGAGACTTTGGGGACTTTGTTGGGGACTATTTCCAGCGGCGGATTAATCCACATGTGGTATTTGTATGAGTCAGAATAAAGTAGTGTTGATGATGATGATGAAGAACACCATGACACTCTATGGGAAGAGGACATTAAGACATTAAGGTGGTGTTTGTTGTGTCTCCGTCCAGCCGTGTCATCTCCATCCTCCTTCACCCTGAAGACAAACACCATCAGCACCACCGTCCCCAACTCCTACTACCCAGGTAACCATGGTGATAAGACAGGATATTATGGTCTGTAACAGACATGGACACTCAGCAGAACAATAGTCCAGGGGGCAGGGTATCAGAGTGAAACTCTTCCTCATCTTCTTCCTCGTTAATCATCATCTCTGATGTCCATAAAAAACAAATATTTGTAGTTTCCTATCCAGTGATAGGAGTCTGTCCATCCTGATTCATTGATTCTGTCTGTCCTGATTCATTGATTCTTTCCATCCTGATTCATTGATTCTGTCCTTCTTGATTCGTTGATTCTTTCTGTCCTGATTCATTGATTCTGTCTGTCCTGATTCATTGATTCTTTCTGTCCTGATTCATTGATTCTGTCTGTCCTGATTCATTGATTCTTTCCGTCCTGATTCATTGTTTCTTTCTGTCCTGATTCATTGATTCTTTCCATCCTGATTCATTGTTTCTTTCTGTCCTGATTCATTGATTCTTTGCATCCTGAGTCATTGATTCTTTCTGTCATGATTCATTAATTCTTTCTGTCCTGATTCATTGATTCTTTCTGTCCTGATTCATTGATTCTGTTTGTCCTGATTCATTGATTCTTTCTGTCCTGCTTCATTGATTCTGTCTGTCCTGATTCATTGATTCTGTCTGTCCTGATTCATTGATTCTTTCCGTCCTGATTCATTGTTTCTTTCTGTCCTGATTCATTGATTCTTTCTGTCCTGTTTCATTGTTTGTCTGTCCTGATTCATTGATTCTTTCCGTCCTGATTCATTGATTCTTTCCGTCCTGATTCATTGATTCTGTCTGTCCTGATTCATTGATTATTTCTGTCCTGATTCATTGATTCTTTCTGTCCTGATTCATTGATTCTTTCTGTCCTGTTTTATTGTTTCTGTCTGTCCTGATTCATTGATTCTTTCTATCCTGATTCATTGATTCTTTCTGTCCTGATTCATTGATTCTTTCCGTCCTGATTCATTGATTCTTTGCATCCTGATTCATTGATTCTTTCTGTCCTGATTCATTGATTCTTTCTGTCCTGATTCATTGATTCTTTCTGTCCTGATTCATTGATTCTTTCTGTCCTGATTCATTGATTCTTTCCGTCCTGATTCATTGATTCTTTCCGTCCTGATTCATTGATTCTTTGCGTCCTGATTCATTGACTCTGTCGTGGTACTGGCTCAGATTAACATGTTGGATCAATGACTGTTGATCAGATATTTGTTGTTTTACTGTTTCAGCCTCATGTTTGAACAACAGAAAGATCAATATTGAATATCAGATATCGTGTTATTAATATTGACATCCTGGTGGTTCACTGTTGGTAGTTCTGTCTGGTAGAGGACTAAGATAAAGACGTGAGGCCCTGATCTGGCTCTCTGTTGGTGGACTGTTGGTGTGAACACACGGAGGACCAGAACCAGATCACATCTGGTCCTCATCTGGATCTCAACAGCAGCAACAGAGTCTGGTTTCATTAAAACAGTGATGTAGGGAGCTGATGTTTCTTTCTTCTTTTCTCTTTTTTCCTCTGTCCTACCTGTCTCTCTGTCTGTCTCACTGTCTGTTTGTCCTATCTGTCTGTCTCTCTCTGTCCTACCTGTTTGTCTGTCTGTCTCTTTCTCTGTTTGTCTCTCTCTGTCCTGCCTGTCTCTCTGTGTCTTATCTGTCTATTTCTCTGTCTGTATCTCTCTGTCCTATCCGTCTGTCTCTCTCTGTCCTGTCTGTCTGCTGCTGATGTCTCCTGATGACAGACCCCTTCGTACCGACGGCCATTCTAGGTGAGACATTTTTCCGTTCCTTCTTCTGTTGGACAGAAAATAACAAACTGCACAGGCAGACAGACAGGAAGTAGACAGACAGGAAGTAGACAGACAGGTGAAACAAAGAAGAGAGAGACGGGTCAGAGGACAGAGAGGATGGAGAGAATGAGAAAGAGAGAGTGATACTTTGGCTTCCATCCATCCCTGCTTGCTTCTCGTTCGGCTGCTTTTGCTTCTTTATTTCCTATTTTTAAAGATTTTTAATTTAAATTTGTATTATTTCATTTTAATTTAAGTCCTCCAGCTTTGATTATTATATTTCTTTCAATATAAAGATTATATTATAACTATATGGATTTTTCTTAATTTTTAGTTTTTTTATTATAATTTTTTTCATTTACTTTTATTCGTGACATTTTAACTGGTTATTTCTTGATTTTTTTTCTTTTTTTGTATTTACTTTGTTTTTGTTTTCATTTCAAAAATAATTCAATTTGTTTACATTTAAAAAATTATTATTTCCATTTTGGTTTTGAGCTGATTTATTTTGGTATTTTTTGGTTTGTTTGTGGTTTGTATTTTAAAGCGACGGTGGGCATCACTCCATCTCCGCATCCACAACATTCCTGCGTGTTGACGTCACGTCTGTCTGTGACCTGTGACCTCTGCATGGACACAACACATCCTCGTGGACGGGGGGGGGGGGGGACAAGAGAAACCAGATCAGTCAGAGTCCCGTTGTCTTCGTCTCTGGACGTCTTTTCTTTATTTAACATGAAATGAGCAGGAAGTCAGATGAACGAAGACAAACTCAGCCTTCAATCCAAAGATTAAAAATGTTAAATATGTTATAGAATATGAATATATTATATATATATGCATCGACACACTGGTGAGAAGAACGCCGACTCAGCTGAAGGAAGAACAAAACTCAAGTCAAAGACGCTTCAACAAAGTCAAAAAGAAATTGAAACACAAGCGTTCATGAAGAGGAACCTAAAAAAAACATGATTATTAAAAAAACAGGAATAATCTGCACCGAACCCACTGAAGATTAATCTGATCGTTATGACATCGTTATGACATCATTCTGCTGATGAAATGTAGATATCTCAAAGATCAGATTACACTATCGTGTTCTAATAAACAGATACAAGTAGTTTTTACAACAGAAATATGATAACACCTTAATTATGTTTGTTAAACGAATAAAGATTTAGCAACGTAACCTAATGTAAGCTAACGTAAACTAACGTAAGCTAACTAAAGTGAACTAATGCTAATGTATGTGTGTTCAAACAACTCAGAAGAGATGGAGGTCTTGGTTCGATAATGACTAAGTTTTATTAACGTTTAACTGAAGCCGACATCTTTCTTTAACCAACAAGTGGACTCAAACAAAAAGACGATAATCAGCAGTTATGTTTCTCTACAAACATCAAAGTGTTTCAGAAACGTAAACTAAACAGAATAATGAGACTGAGATACTTCAAAACTTGCTTATGAAGCTTTGTGTTGCTGTGAAAGAGAATATTGACACAAAGTAAAATAGATCGTAGAAAGTGAAAAACCTCGGTGGCGTTGTTCTTACAGCTCGTTATTCTAAAACCTGTAATTGTTTGTTCTGAAGAAGCTCATAAAATAAACAACAACAAACAGACGATAATTATTATGCTGATTGACTTTATCGGACCTTCACAATTTCTTAATTTTTTTTTGTACTGGGGTCAGAGACCTGAACCGCCCTACTCTGCCTCTAATTGGCTGACCCTGATATTCTTACCTTAAACAACCCAACCAACAGTTACTAGCCAATCAGAGGCGAAGTAGGGCGGGTCCTGCCTTCGGTATCGATGACGTCATTCTGCATAGATATTAGAGTTTGTTGCAGTAAAGGTGTATTCTCTGTCTTCAGAATAACAATGGGCATCCCCCGTCCTGTTTAATGCTAACCTTGAATGCTAAATGCTAGGCTAATCTAATGTCCAAGCAAAGGAAGGAGGAATGCTAAAAGCAAACTGTCCCAAACTGTCTCCTGTCTCCTCATGCTAGCTAAACCGTCTTCAGACCAGACGAGTCCTTCTCTTAGGGTACAGTTAGCCAGGTTAGCCGAGTTAGCCTAGGCGCTTCCTGCTAGCTGTTACAAGTTAAAATAGAGCAACTACGATGCTACTTCCTGTTTGATTCATGCTAGCTGTGTGTTTCTAGTAGAGTCCAGGCTAAAGTTGTTGCTTATACCCTGTCTCCTCTTCTTCTTCTCTTCTATCTTTCTCTGTGTAAAGTGCCCATTAATGGTAAGTGGTTAAATTTGGGTCTAAGGGGGCGGGACTCATGTTGGGGGGGGTTCACCACTGCGCATGGAGCCACACCCACCACCTGCTGTGATGTCATCAGTTAGCGTGGCCATGCTTCACTTTTTCACCCCTCTGTGAAATTGTGACATAATCCCCAACTCCTCCCACCATTTCACCTCGAACCAATCAGGTGTCAGATCTGCCCATCTCTCTGTCGCTGATTGGTTGCCGTTTTTTGTCGTTGTGGTTGTCTCTCATTGGTCTTCCTCAGTCCAATCACAAACCGCCACCTCCATCACATCACCCATCTCCTCGCCCTCGCGATGATTGTTTGGGCTGTTTGGGATAGAGCTTCTGATTGGTCAGTCAGCCCCCAGGCTAGCCAATAAGAGAGTTTACCACAGAGGTAGAGAGAGTAGAGGAAGTTTGTCTGTTGAAATGTTCACTTCAGAGTGCTGGACGTTCTTTCAAGGGTCAATAAAAACTAGTTTGCCAAAGAGGTTTGTTTTGTTCCAGGACTCTGAACTCTCTGCTCTTTTCACACTGCAGCACCAAGAACCTGGACCACATCTGGACCAGTACTCATTCCATGCTGTACTGGGTCTGGACCAGTACTGATAACTGGGTCTGGACTAATACTAATACCATGCTGTACTGGATCTGGACCAGTACTGAAACCATGCTTTACTGGATCTAGACCAGTACTCATTCCATACTCTACTGGATCTTGACAAGTACTCATATCGTACTGTATTGGGTATAGGCCAGTACTGATACCATGCTGTACTGGGTCTAGACTAGTACTGATAATTGGATCCAGACCAGTACTTATACCATGTTGTACTGGGTCTAGATCAGTACTATAACCATGCTGTAGTGGGTCTAGACCAGTACTGATACCATACTGTAGTGGGTCTAGACCAGTAGTTATACCATGCTGTACTGGGTCTAGACCAGTACTGATGCTGCAGTCCAATTTGTTCTAAAAAATGATTTGTTAATGAAAATGTTTTTTGGTAGCTTTGGGAGCAGTGTGAAAAGAAACCAGAGCCAATCACCATCCTCTCTTCAGTCATGTGATTTGATGTATGTGCCATTCATCTGTGTTGTGGTAACAACATTGTCATCATTTTCCTTATAGTTACTAATATAAACAATTAGTTATCAGTGTAACTAGACATGGTTAGTCAGTTTACACCTGGTTAGTTACTGTTACAGTCAGTTTACACCTGGTTAATTAGTCAGTTTATACCTGGTTAGTTACAGTTACAGTCAGTTTACACCTGGTTAGTTACAGTCGGTTTACACCTGGTTAGTTACACTGTTACAGTCAGTTTACACCTGGTTAGTTACACTGTTACAGTCAGTTTACACCTGGTTAGTTACAGTCAGTTTATACCTGGTTAGTTACACTGTTACAGTCAGTTTACACCTGGTTAGTGATGTTGCTACAGTCAGTTTACACCTGGTTAATTACACTCAGTTTATACCTGGTTAGTTACACTGTTACAACCAGTTTACACCTGGTTAGTTACACAAATTGCAACTTACTAAACATCCATGTGATCATTGTCTTTCTGGGAACTTATCAGGTGTTCCGGTTAAGGTCAAATTGTACATGAATCAATACATAATCTGGTGGTCTGATCCTAAAATAAATCATTACCAACCTAACCAAGTTAGATCTGGCCTTTATTTGTACAGTTTATGCACAGAATTAATTCTAAACTTACGATGCAAATTTTGCTTTAATTACAATGAAAAATGAACTGATACAAACTGAATTTAACAAAGAAAACTGGTATTAATGTGTTGATTTTTGACTAATTCAAGCTCAAACCTGACGTCATGACAAGTCAAATAGTATTCACACAGATCAGTGTGAGCAAGTCTGGATTCTGACCCGGGTCAGTCCATCCTTTTGACCCGGGTCAGTCTGGTCCATCTCATCCAACATGATCATACATCATACCTGCATCACATGAGTCACTGTTCATGTCCGTCTGTCTGCTGACTACAGTCTGACCCGTTTACTGTCATATTCTGTCTTCTGTTCCTCCTCCTCCTCATCCTCCCCCAGACGACAGCCACACTATGACCAGTGAAACCAGTAGCCTGGTCCAGTCCCACTATAAGCAGCGGGAGTCTGAGCGCGAGGCGCTGCCCTACCAGACGGGTCAGCTGCACCCAGCCATCCGAGTGGCCGACCTGCTGCAACACATCACCCAGATGAAATGTGCCGAAGGGTATGGCTTCAAGGAGGAGTACGAGGTGAGGACGCACCCACACACACACACACACACACACACACTGCAAATATGCCTCTTTCGTCCATAGAAGACTTTCATATTGTCATACTTATCTTAAAGACACTTTAAAGTTATTGAGTTCTAAAGCCACCTGTTCACAATGAAGAGCACACACACCTGTGGGGGCGGAGCCATTTTACATAAATCACAATTTTAGGACAATCAGATTTAAATTGATCTTTTAAAAGCATCGCAGAATAAAAGACGTACAAAGAGCTTCAGTGTTGACGTGTGACATCAGCATTTAGCCTCTAGAAAGTTATTATTACTTTATAATAGTTTCACTATCATAAAACCTCAAACAGACTTGAGTTTTAAATTCATGTCGCAGTATTTAAAGATACAGAGATGTTTATTAGTGAAGTGAAGCTTTAGAAACGAACCCAGTTTAAAATGTTCAAACATGTAAAGATCATTTACAGAAGCACGTTTACAGTAAAAATATTGAAAATGTATGTATATACATTTATATATATATATATTATATATACAGTATATAAATGTGAAGAAAATACTCCTTTTAACAACCAACATTTATTATTGATCATATATTCCATATTTTCATAACTTAGAGGTTATTTATTAGCTCAAAAAACATCAGACAACCAAATCAAAGATATTTTCTGATCCAGTGAAAACTCAGACCAACATATTGATGATTATCAATTATCAACTAATCGTTTCAGCAACGATCAGCAGAAATTAGAGAAGAAGAAGACAGTAAACACAGCAGCAGAGTGGTGTGTGTGTGTGTGTCTGTGTGTGTGTGTGTGTGTGTGTGTGTGTGTGTGTGTGTGTGTGTGTCCACATGTTTGCACATTTTCATCAGGAGAAACTTACTAATGGATGTTACTTACCTGAACACACACATACACGAGCATTCCCTTTTTGGCCCATTAGCTGGAGGGAAGATCTATAATGTGTGCGTGCGTGCGTGTATGT